ACATCCTTTTTTTGCTACCGGGCGAAATTTAAATAATGAAATTCGACCCCAAAAACACAACTTATTTGGTTGTATTTAGGCACAGACGTGAACGCAGAATCAAAACCGTTTGTTTTCTGTTTGTTTTTTAATGTGTTGATTTGTGTGGCTTTATGGTTTTACTCTGATTTGTTTTGTGTAATCTTAAAATGCTACTCTAGTGTGACTTGTAGCAACTGCACTGTGCAATATACAACAATACGAGGACTGGGAAAATGCTAATTGGATGTTCTGACGTGTGTCTTACCAGTTCGCAGTCGTCCCTCTCTAGTTCTCAGTGAGTTTCAGTGTGACCAAGCCTTATGTACTTTGTCACAAAAAGCGGGTTCCTTCTTGGTGACTCTTATTGGTGAGTGTCAAATTATGAATTTATTGTGTACTATGTTGAGATTCACTTTGAATAAAAAAAAATCTTTTGCTTCACTTACTGTTTTTGCTTTTTTTTAAACAATCGTTAGCGAAGAAATGTAGCAACACACGATTTAATTTTATTATTTTCAGAACCTCGTAAGGATGTTAAGCTGATCATTTTTATTCCCCAAATCCTTATTTGTTGTTTCGCCTCTTGTCTTGCAGATTTAAGCATCAGCTTTCTGGAAGGGGCAGAGATAAATAAAACAAATGAACTTTCTGTGAAAAAAAACTTTTTAAAACAAAGATTTTCCTTATCTGTTTAAAAAAGGGGGTGAAACTGTGTACACAACACTAAATAAAAAAGCAGATATGGGTTTTATTCAATGGAAACATGATCTATGGAGTGATTTTTATAAATTGTTTTCATGCATCTTTAAGTTTTACCACTAGATGGCAGTAATTCATACAGAAAAGAGAGAACTTTTCCAAGCCAAACAGTTCAATATGTATATTTTATTTAAGGCAGCGACAGCTTACAACAGTGAGGAATAACATAATTTTTTGTGTTTGTGGGATAAATAAACCAGAAATATTTCAAACAGCTACGTTTTTTAACCAATGTTTACAGAATGTGATGAGCATAACTTATTCAATTCAATCTGTTTTTAAATGAATATAGTCCAACAAAATTTAACAGAAAACAGCATTAGTGCTAACATACATTTTGAAACAACTTTACATTTTTACCACTTTTTATTGTAGTTAGGTTTGAGCAGAAAGACACAGTGACAACACACAAATTTGCAAATTACACAGATATAGCTCATTTTTTAAAAATATATTTTAAAGAATCAAAGGGTTTTCTACAAGAAAAATCAAATTACCTTGTTTGATCATTATTGGTCAAATAGAACCGGGGTCATAAATGAGCTTGTTCCGCTGGAGTCTGGAGCGCCTGTTGTTCCTGCGGGTCCCACCAGGGGGCGCCAACTCCCCGCTGAATTTTGAGCCTTGAGAGTGAAACTTCCGCCACTTTCAACCTGCCGCCACTTCCGGTCTTGTAAGTAAACGGCGGATAAAAATGATTAGACCTGTAATTAACATTTTAAACAATTTTTCAAATGCTGAAAATGAACTACAACAGCTGTAGTGTAACCAAAAACTACTATTTTACACTGTAACTCTTGAATTAACCGTTTGGGAATAGTTTAACACGTTTATAAAACCGGAAGCCGGTTTTTGCGTGTATGATTCTTTAAATGTGTCTTTGTGGCGCATTTTTAGTTATTTGTTTATATATTTATTCTGTCACATTTGTGGTCTTGTTCTACTCTGCTCGCTAACTTTTTCAAACGTGTGTTAGCGTCTTCTACTTTTCTTCACACCATTGGAGGCTTTTATTCTGAAAGCGACAGCAGCGGTTTTCCGGTTCGGCAGCGCTGCGTTGACGCGTCTTTCAGCGCGCACGGAGAGCGTTTTGCGGACTCCGGACTTCAACACCGAGCGGATACGAGCAGTGAGACCCGTCGACAGATTGAAGCCCGGGTCGGAGCCTCGCAGCCTCCGGCCGGCTCATGGAGAGCGGAGCCCGGTGTGTCCGAACCGCCGGGGGCAGCTTCTTGACGATCGGATGCCTTTCACCGCAGCGGCGCCGTTAGATGTTTTCCGTGCGGGATTAATTGGTTGAACCGATGGCTCCCAAACATGCGCTCCGCTCCAGCAGTGGCCCCGGGGCCCGACAGGCGAACAACGGCACCGAACTGGACTCTTGTTTCCCGGCGGCGCGGAGCCCGGATGCGGGGACGGTGGCGGCCGTGTGCGCGCCGAGGAGCAGGAGCAGGTGTCGGGCTCTGAGCGGGATGCTGGCCCGGGTGTTCGCGGTTCTGGTCCTGATGCTGCAGAGCTCTGTGGCCGCTGGCGGTAAGATCCTGATGCTTTTTTTTTACTTTGAAGTGACGATTTTTTAAAGTAAATCTTTAATATTTTACCAATAAGCCCTGATAATTGATCAGTTTCATTAATGAGACTAACTCAAATTTATTGTTATTGTTCCACTTATTAACATATTTATTTATTACTAAATTAAGTGAAGATCTTTGTGTGGAAAATTAATTGTGACTTCATGTGGAGAAGCTGGAGCTGTGATGTTTTTTGAATGAATCAGTGTCTTTTATTGTTATTATAAACAGCAACAATGAGATCGGTTTGTTTCATCCAGAGGCTCTGTTTTTGTTCCTAACATGTAGATATTTGATGCATCTGATTCAGAAGGTGTAGTTGTTTGTCAAATCTGAATAATTTATCTTCAGATCCCGGTTCTGGTCCTACAGAGGCCCTCACCGAGGTCTCCAAACACGCAGCCGGAGCGCAGCGCGCCGCATCACTGCGCGCGTTCCTTTCTGCGTTTGGAGCCAAACTTTTCAATAATTAAACAATGCCTGAGCCCTGACAGCCTTCGACAAGATCTATAGGGCTATTTCTTTTCTTCTTTTATAAATAAATCCAGATTTTTATATAATCCAAGACGCGCAAAGAAAGAAACAAAAATGGCAGCTTTTGCGCTCAGCCCGTTCAGAACCATGAAGCCTCTTTGAGGTTATTTCTAACAAATACTGCAGAATAAAACCAAAAAATAACAAAAACTATGAAAAGACTGGTCCTTAAGGGGCACATTATGTTAAAAACCTATACAGTTAAAGCAAGAAATATGCAGTTTATTTGATTTGATTTGATTTGATTTATTTATTTAACAGGAAAATATTACTAAAAATCAATCCTGACTCAGCATAATTGCTGTTTTACAGCAGGTTCCTGTTCTGCAGCACAAAAAACACAGAATTACAGCATCACAATCACATCATTATACGACACAAAGACAAACAAGCATA